GGGGGGGGGGGGGGGGAGGGTTGGGGTAGGAGTGGGAGGGAATGAAGCCGTAGGTCAGTGCTGGCGGAGTAGTTTAGTCTACCAGCTCGGTCGATCACAAAACGTCTTGTACATGATTCGTGTGGATGGTGTCTGATCCGATTCTCGGACCCGCCGCCACTCTTTGTCTCCTTGCTAGCCATGCCACTGCTATCTACGTAGGACACCCTTGCGAATTCGTGCCCCCCCCCTCCGTACGCAAGGACGTAAGCACAAGATGCCGAAAACCCTTAGCAGGATGCAGCGCACCCTTCATGCGACTCGCCGAATATCTCACGGCGCTTCGCGCTTGGTGATGTGAGAGCCTGGTCCGGTGAGAGCCCGGCGTGCTCCGTCCCGGCTTTGTAGGGATGCGAGGTCAATGGTCTAACGACTACGGCATGCACGACTATGAGTACACCCCCCCTCCTCTCCTCCTCAAACCACGCTGGGTCATACTGCCGCCGTACCTTTACCCCTCCCCTCTTTCGTGGCAGAGCGGAACGGCACGTTGATCCTGAGGGCCGTGGCCACCCTGTCGCTAGAAGCTGACAGCAGGCTTTTGGCGTTGACGATGCCTTCCTGGAACAGGGCGCTGGCTTCCGTCCGAGACATGCCTGGGACCTGGAACACGGCAGACCAACAGCAGAACATGTGCACGCACACAATAGTTGGCCGCCGCCGCACAGGTATTTAGCCCGCCGGGAGTTAGCCTACTGAACAATAAATCTAAACCGGAAAATCGAAGGCGCGCGAACGCTAAAAACTTGATGCAAGAAGGCAAATGTTACAGCATACCGAAGGTTGAAACAAAGCACACATGCATGTGGCGCGGCGCGAATGCCTGAGGGTCTCGGGGAAGTGAAGGGAGTGCCTGCAAGGATGCTGCGACAGCAATCGCTTCAAGACGACAACGTTCCTCCACCTGCATAAGGGGTAAAAGTTGGTTGCTGACGCCCAAGCTCAGCTTCGGTATATGTCCCTTGACCAACATCAGGAATATCGTCCATCCGAGCTCCTGAAACGCGCGCGTGCGGGTGAGGGTGTGTGCGTGCACCGTGGGGCAGACGGTTTGGCACGTTGTAAAATCGGAGGATTGTATTGAGGGGGTCAAGCGCATCGTATCGTACGTCAAGGAGCGAAAATCAATTTGATGTGCGGCCTCGATGTATTTGCTTCATCTTGTGCCATCTCCCTTGTCGTGGGCCATTTTTTCGCGGTCTTCAGACGCAGGGAGTACGGAGGTATACACGACTGTCTCGCGTTTCTCTGCAATCGACGCCACGGGGGTAAGCTTATTCTGGGCGGAAATCTTCCCTGTAGAGGACAGTCGGCGGAAAGACGGACGGAGATACATATGTGGTACCATATTCTGCGCAATAATACTGCCTGTTGATGTACCTTGAGGAACGACGCCACCATTCCTGAGAAGGTGGCAGTCGACTGTCGCAAGTTCTGCAGCTCCCCCTTGTTCATGCCGTACGACTTCGCCACCTGGGGGCATGTCGATTTTGACGAGCAAATTGGTAACGGAGATATGTCAGCTCGTGGGTTCTACAGAAACAGGAGAGCACACCCTGGACTGTGTTTGGTGCATGGCGTTGGGAAGGGTTAACGTGGCGACGAATTATACCACACCGCCTGGACCGATAAAGCTCGATTGCTCCGCAGCACAAAGCGTGGCGGTGCCAAAATGGTGGCGTTGGAACCGTTTCCTTGAGGGCTTTCCAACAACGTATCGATTAAATAACACACCCTCTTCGTCGTGGAGAAGCTGACCTTTGAAAATCGGTACAGAGGGTGTGGTATCTTGTTTCACCTAAGGTACAGCACTCGAAACGTTGTTCGAATGTTGCCGGTGGGACACTTTCGAAATGCTCTGTACTCGCGAGGTGCGTGTTAGTGAACGGGGTAAACTTTCAGAATCGACATGACATGTGCTGGTTGGTTGGAGAACATTCTTTCGGCCTGTTGTTAGGGCCTGGCGACATTTAATAGTACTCCCCGGGGCGCCCGTAATCCACTTTCCTCGTGTATTCCCCCACCTGTCCAAGGTGGTGACCATCCGAGACGTCCTTCAATGCCATCGCCGCGACGAGACGCACCGCTCTCTTGGCCGGGTTCAATCCCGTAGGCTTCTTCTCCTCGCTTCTATTAGGCACAAAACACCCAAAGACAAAAAAAACACATTTGCACAACATTACAGGAAATCTGGGGTAAATAAATAAGGCATCGCACAAAGAAGGGGTGTGGGCATTCACGCAATAAAATCGGAGGGGGCATGGCGCACAACGCACGAACAAATTTGCACAAGGGGGAGGGCAACGCTTAGGGCCGTTTTAAACGAACCGACTTTTTGTCAAAATTTTTGAAAGTGTCAAAAAATGGAACCTGTGTGTAGGCTTTTGTCCATTTTTTTCAAAAATATTTGGAACGAAGTTGGGCGCGAAAACTTTGCTCCACTTCGTTCCAACTTTTTGACAACCCTCTCGAAGTATTTGGAGCACTTTGAGTTCCATTTTTTGACGCTTTCAAAAATTTTGACAAAAAGTAGTATTTGGAGCACTTTGAGTTCCATTTTTTGACACTTTCAAAAATTTTGACAAAAAGTCGGTCCGTTTAAAACGGCCCTTACCCGGGATTCGCACACATGCAAACTCACACGCAAGATTGTGCCATGAAAAAATGTAACTTACAGGAGACTGAGAGTCGATCGTCCCGCTGCCATCACGTGCGAGACGTCGGCTAGACGTGGGCTCTGCACCCGACAAAAACCGCCCAGCACAAGCCAACCGCAAAGCAATTAAGTCTACCAATGGACCGATCTCCCACATACCGCTTTTTCGCCCATCAGCATTCGCTACCACCACCGCCACCTCTGAAACCGGCAGCAAACAACCAAAAAACATCCATGCAATGTTTGAACCAAACACCGAAGACCGACTCACCCGCGGACATCTCTTCTGGTCCCCGTTTTACCGTCGTCACCGAGGCCTCCGCGCCTAGCACTAGCAGCCTGCTGCACGGCCGTCGGAGATAGCAGCGGAGCCTCCCTTGTGCCCCCGCCCGGCCCCCGCGACGCCCACAGGTGCAGTTGGCTCTCTGTGATACCAATTTTGTGGAGGTCTTCGACGAGGTGAGCGTTTGGGCCTGGGGGCGTTTCTGCCGCCGCAGCTTGCGCGCTGGCGTACATCTGGCAAGGATATCGGTCGGGGGTCAGGTAAGTGGGCGGGTGGATAGATTTAACGTTATGACAACGATTCGCTCTTCGTTGTGGCGGCAGTGGTTGTTGGCGTCGTCGTCGACATCTCTCAGCACAAGAGGACGGCAACGGCGACCCTAACTCTATGCTGGTCCTTCACTGATACAACTGGCTGTTTCGCTCTCTCCGAGAATTGCATCAACAACACAACTAATCTGCGACATTCGAGGTGAGACACATACAGACACTACATGTAAATGCAGCACAGAAATAAAGGGACGGCATAAAGCACGCACGTCGTGGCATTTGTACGTCCACCAGCAAGCTACAAACAGGCCGGACTGCACCGGTGGGACACTTCAACTGCCTCGAGCTTCCCGAAAAAAGCTAATAGGACCCTCCGAACAAAAAAAGCTGGCCACCGTGATACACACAAGCCGCAAAACCCTACAGCAGTAGCTAGAATTGATGGCCTACCAGCAAAAAGGCGATACAGGATGCTTTTTCGTGGCCTACGCTTGCTCGATGGAGGAGAAACACGCGAGACCAAACACCCCCAACATGCAGTCAGGAAGGCCGTGCCAAGCCCATCCCCCGTAGGCTAAACAAAAGACAAACTTGGGACTGATCAACAGAACGAGCGAACGAGCTGTCTTACCGCCCGCAACCGTTCCCAGTTCGGCTTGAGTCCCGCCGGCGGGCTCAATGGAGTTAGCAGGTAGGCCAGGTAGAGGGTGTGGCGGAGGTTGATTCCGTTCTTCGCCTCTGGGGAACGACGATCGATCCCACGTTTGGCGGGGTGCAGGGCAGGGCGGTGTCCATTTTGGTTCGAAGAAAAGGGATACAGACGTTGGAGGGAACGGACAAAAACATTATAGGAGTGCGATTGAGTAAAAAACACAAGCGGGAGGCACTCTAACGTTGTAAAAGTGATGCCGACGCTGGTCAGGTTTCAAAATCCTCGGCGGTGCTGACTGGCGCAGTGTAGTCGGCACGGATGAGGTTCGAACACGACAATGGAACATTCGGCATGCCAATTAGTGCCCGCGGGAAGACAAAACACCTCCGGAAACTACCTCCACCCATACCTGACAGATCCCTGTAGATCATCAGCCCGTCCCCAGGCGGCATCGAGCTGCGGAAGATGGCCAGCCCTAGCTTGGTGGGCACCAGTAATCGATCATCGCTCCCCGCCTCCTCCACCCCGCTTACACTACCAAGACCACCGCTTCTGGGCTCCTTGCGGAAGTCCCCATCCTGAGCTTCGCACGACATCGCCGCGGTAGCACGACGACCTCTCGCGGCGGCGGCGGTGTCATTGTGTGCAACGGGTGGTGTTTGCACCCCCACCTTCTGTCCAACGACAGTGGGCTTCGACCGTTTCGTCACCGGGACGTACGTAGCGGGGACGTGTGTAGCGGTATCTGCGACGCGCTTGTTGCCTCCACCTCCTCCTCCTCCTCCTCCTCCTCCTCCTCCTCCTCCTCCCGATATACTTGTAGTGGCAGCAACGAGGGAGGCGGAAGCGGGAGCCTTTGCGGCGGTGGCGATTGGTTTGGGCACAGCCGGGGTCGGCGGTTGGATGAGCTCCACGCAGCCCTCGTCGATGAGGAGTTGTATGGCTGCCCAGGCGTAGTCGTGGAGCCGGTCGCGGGCAGCTTCGTCGGGCTGTTGGTGGAAGATCAACGTGCACTTGAGAAGCATTGCTGGTAAGCAGGACCGGTACATCAGGAGCAGTTTCAGGTAGGCATACCGGCAGGCAGAAGTTGGGCGCGGAGAGGAGAGGGCGGAAGGGGATGGTGGATGCAAGGGGTCTGTGGGAACGTGAGGCGGCTCATCCGTCGCTAGGACAGGGCACGAAAAAACGTTAAAAAAACGCGGTTCCGCCGAACGAGCCGTTCGGGTGGTGTACTTCTTCTGGTCTAGCACGGCGACTGATCCCCCCTTCACTACGACATCCGACGAAAACCTGTGCGGCTCCTCGACTGGCGAGTACAGACAAACGACGGCCAAACTTCCGCAAACCGCACAACATTTTCGGAAGTACGCGCTAGTAGCTGGTCGCCCCGATGGTCTAGTTGGTATCCTCGAAACCTTTTCGAGGTCAGGTCATGGGTTCGAATCCCGGCGTAAGCGAGCTTTTCTTGCAAAGTGAGTTTGTTCTCTCGCCTCGCTTCCGCTCTTGGCCTAGTGGATAGCGCTAGTTCGTGTGTACACAGAGGGAGGACAGTGCTGACCTCTTCTCGCATTAAAACTCGAAGGCGAAGTACCGCAGGAGGCGAGGGTAGAGAGGGGCTCTTCTGCGTGACCACGGGTTGGAGTAAAACGGCACTAGTGCTGTGTGCGCTGACTTGAAGTGAAGACAAAAAAATATATATATACCATCGACTACGTCAAGATTGTGCGAGGCTTCGGCTCTCTCGCAATGTTGGGGGACAAAGCGCCATGCAGCCCGTTCGTCGAAAGACGGCGGGAAATTACACAGGCACACAATAGGGGTCCATCGATCACGCTGGAAACATCATGTACGAAGAACACCGCAGAGTGACCATCCGACGAACCCGTAAACGAAGACGAAACAGCGACCACCATCCGAGAACCGGACAGTCCCGTGTCTTCGTGACTCACGTAGATCTGCTCGAGTTCGAATCAGCTTCCCGCAGACGGCCTCCAGAACCATCCTCGTCAAACCCGTGCCCCCATCCGCCGTCGGCGTCAACGCGCTGTACACGTGATTGGGGGGCGGTGATTGTCTGGTAGGAAGGGACGCTCTGTTTTCAATGCCCACGAATACCGATCTCAGGGTGAGCGGAAACGTGGGAGGGAATAACTCCCATTGAGAAGTGGTGCAGCAGGGCCATTATCACAAGTCTAACACGTGAACCGGTGTGGCTACACACACCGCAGTACTAACTGTTTTTCAGATTCAAGAGCATGGAATTGCTGCAGCAACACCCACAAGAACCAAATCCAACAACAACCTGTTATGTACCAAACAAGCTGCCAGCGCAAGCAACACAGGTCCCGCTGACTGAGGACGCGCACACCAACAAGAGAAAATCTTCGTTGCCGAAACAGAGTACAGCACGACAAGAGTACAGCACAAGAAGAGTTCACCGCGGAACACGTCGCCCACCTCCTTACGGCTGCGAGACCGGCGTTCATGAGGCCTGTCGCCCGCGCCGCCTGCCCCCTGTTGGCAGCGATAAGCAGCGCCTCTCCGCGAGCTCTTCCCGCGCCTTTTCGCCCCGCCCGCCCGGCCATCTGGCGGTAGCTTTTCAATACAAATATATGAGAGGGCGTGATCAGCGAGGGAGGAGGGAGGGTGACAAAGAGGGTCGCTGGCAATGCTCACTCCACATAACTGTGTTCCGGGTCTCCTAGGGCGATCATTGGTCGATGAAGCAGAATAGTCCAGAGATCATATCACGAGTTGCTGCAAATACTTTTGAGGGTTTCGGCGTCTCATGACCCGCTACAACGGTCCAAGCGCGCTACTCGCCCCGCAACCCCGCCAACACCATCAGAGCTCTTCTTCGACCGCATGCACGCCGACTGACCTTGTGGCGCTCAACCCCCCTCCAACGGCGTTGATGTTCCTGGCGAAGCAGAAGAGAATACATATCCGATACGGCAAATCGGCAGCACGACGAACCAGGCTAGAAGGGTTGGCGACGCACTTGGGGGGCAAGGGATGCGAAATCGCCATTCGGGTGAACAACGCAGAGGTTCGACGACGCGGTACGCTTCCAACACAGCACTCCTACCATCAGATTCCCCACACTGCTGTCCCACGCGTACAGAAAAAGGCGTGACGCAATCAATTAATAGTTGCAGCTGTAGCCGCGATTCCATTCCCTTGCGTGCGGAGCATGCTCTCTCTGTACAGCTGTGAAAAAAAAAACGCCACCTCAATATAACTCTTCCTGCAGGGAGATTAACCCCCGCGCCAAGGGTCGAAGTCGCCGCGAGCACGTCCAGTGCTCCGGATCGAAACGCCTTCTCGATCGCCGATCGTTCAGTGTCGGCCAGGCCGGCGTGATGAAAGGCGACTCCATGAGGGATGGTTTCCTGTGGACGGGGAAGATTCAAAGAAAGAAAAGTTTCGTGAACTTGCTGATCTACATAATACTCCCTGGAATGGTCGGCGACAGGATATACATCCAGTGAAAATCAGCGCATGGGGTCGAGGTCGCCATTGCAGTGGTGTGACTCACAGATGATGCACCCGAGGGACACGAGCGTTGGCACCTATCGGGGAGTTTGGGCTCGGCGTTGGTAAACCTTGACCTCCACCGCCAGAAACAACAAAAAAACGCCGACCCGAACTGAATTGTGCCCATCTTCCCACGACACAACAGCACCATTGTCAGCACCATTGTCTTCCTTTCAAAACCGTGCCGTATGCTTGCCTGTAGGATGGGATCCACACCCATGGCCATCTCCTTGGCCAGCTGTGCCATCAACGCTGAGCGTTTCGACGCCGCCGATTTCGACGCGGGCACCTCGAGGTTCTGCGCCACCTATCAGGGGAGATTTTGGCGCCAATTTTTTTGTTCTTGGTTCTTGGTTCTGCTCCGTCTCGTTTGGTTTCAACTGATTTTCATGTTGGTTGTGTTCGAACGGGTAATTTCGGGATTTCGGTGTACCATCGGTGTGTACACCGACGGGAGAACATGAGGTGAGTGCAAAAAAAGGCCTTTCCAATCGTGGCTAATCACGCCGTGAAACGGAGGGCGGTTTTCGAGCCGAGCGGTTCTCACTGTCGGCTTGACGCCCCCCAATCTGACGCACCGATGATCTCTACGGGCACCCGTACCTGTATATAGCACCTATAGTCCGCGATTGCCTCCCGTGTGCCTGAGGCGGACGAAGACCTCGTCATGCCCATCTCACCAGATGGTCGATATGAGTTGGGTGTAACGCTACAAATAATCAGGCGCGGTTCGTCCAGTGCATTGATGCGTTCCGCTGCTTTCCGTACCAAGCCATCGGCCTCTCGCGGGGGTGCCTCGTCTAGACATTTGAGCATATCAAACACTTCAATACACGTGTTTGTATGCAAGTAAAAAATTCCAACACAGCGGCGCGGGAGCACGCAGTTGGTCTGCCGCCTACACCTGGGCCCGGTGCCCGTGTTCACGTCTCAGCGACGAGTGTCACCTTGAGAGCACAGTTGTGGCAGAATTGTTTGGTGGAGCAGAAGATGATCACCTGATCCCCCGCGCGGCAACTCTCCCTGCTTGCAAGAAAAGAACAAAAAGTGTGAGAAAAGAAAGCCAAAAGAGAAAAACATCCGATGCAATACAACACAGGTGCTGGTACTTGGCTTCGCGCGGCTGACAGGACGAGTAGGACATAACAAGGGGACACACGCACTCAGCAGACCAGGCTCTTATACTACGTGTTATGTTTACCTGCATAGAGTCACAACATGGTCTGGGTCTGACTGGGGGTGCGCCGGCGCGGCAAACTCCCTGACGACGGATCCCTCTTTGTCGTATACGTGCATCCCAAGCTTTAGGGCGGCACACCGAACGAGGAAAAAAGATACGAATGTGAGCCAGCGGGGTAGTTTGAGGTTTCGTTAAAGCAGTCACAGGTTTGACGCTCTGAATGAACCTGATGGTGACCGTAGGGGCGGAGGAAAGACGCCGCAAGGAGCACTGCTTCCATTTGCACATACAAGGAACGAGCTTTGGCTACGGCTCGAAAAACACACACACCCCGGAACAAGCTCGCTTTCAGTCCTCCAACCCACGTGTTCATTGGGCAAGACTTCTCAAGCTCTGTGTTCCGATCCCGACACACGATTTGTGCCCAGACCCTCTCGACAACGAGTGGTAACATCCTACTTCGCTTCCACCAAAAACCCGTGGTTCGTCGTGTATACAACGCTGGAACAGAGGCTGACGCGTGTGCACGCCCAAGCATTCTCACCACGATCCTCTCGTCCAGAGGAATGGGCCGAAAGTCCGACACGTGGAGAGTCGCACCGAGCCACTTGGCTAGCTCCGCACCGTTGGACAGCGTCGCGCTCATACCCACGATCTGTTTGTTGATTGGGGCGTTCGTCGAGTGAATGAATTGTGGCGGCGAGAACTTTCAACGCGTGATAAGCTGCGCATGTTCCACAGACTCAAGTACGAGGTAGAACTCATATCCCTTCCCACCCTGACAAGCTTGAAGGGTCGACACCAAATGCAAGCCTTTGGCTACGAGACAATCCATCAAGAGCAAAAACATCAAGTGAAAGCCTTTGACCATGAGAGAATCGATTGGATCAAAGACGTGAGCTCGCCCTCGAGTTTTTGGCCGCAACCGATGAAACTCTCTCGCTAGCGAGACATGTCGTGGGCGCAAGGCTCTTCTACCCATAGGGCAAGGAAGTGTCGACACAAACTCTTTGTTAATCAAGCCTTCTCAAGCACGCTACACATGGCCGACAGCGCTTGCGCATACCTACGCACTGCCCCAAAGTCGCACCCATACCTGGGTGTGCTGTCTCAGCGGTGCCGGCTTGTTACTACCAACGCCTGCACCGGTTTTTGCTTGGGGTACTGCAGGTGCGCTCCGGTTAGCTCGGACCACCTGTTGGCGTAAGAGATCGCAATATTCCCCAGCGGAGCGGACAGATCACAGAGGTGGTTACGCTACGCGCTGGTAGACATAAAGAGGGGCCAGAGAACGTAGGCACGCATGATTCAGGCCAAGCAACCGCATCAAAAAATGTCCAACACTGTGTTGCAACGCGAGCACTTTTATTCCATACAAAAAAAAAAGAAGTTAGTCTCGCAACGATGCTGTTCCGAGCGCACTCGTAGAGGTGTGCGACAGTGTGAACGTGAACACTACTTCGAAACCCTTTCAACGCACCCCGGCGCTTTATCCAGCACTATCCTTTGGAACCTTGGTCCTCCAAAGAATCCCAAGAACGTCGCCTGTTCCGTCTAAGGTACATACACAGCACGCGCGGAATTCGGTAAGGGTGTGCTTGTAAGCGTGTTTCCGTGAGATCTGCGGTCTCTTCTTGCCTTAGCCAGCAGGAGCTCCAGTATCTGACCTCGTCTGCCATCCCCGATCATGTGCAGCTCGTCCACCACGAGACACGACAGCTCGTGCAGCTCCTGCGAGAGACAGGACGGAGGTGGGAACTGTTAGCGACAGCCTCGCTGGAAGAGCGCGACGAAGGTATGTACCACACTGGCTAGCTTCGGCCCATTGTAACAGGCCGGCGGCCAGTCGAGCGGGGAACGAAAAACCAACATCTTTCTGCAGAAGACACTTGCATCCTACAACAACACCGAAAAAACAAGTGGGTACTAAAACGGGGACGACCGTTTGAACTAGACCTGTTTCGCAAGCAAGCACCACCACCAAGAGCCAACGCCTACAGCAACTTCGATGCCGCTGGCATCTCACATCGGCAGCCGCCATGCGGTTGACCAGGCCGTTCGCCTTCTCGATCGTGCACACCGCGATCTGGGCGTGCTTGAGGTCGCCGCCCTTTGCCCCGTGTAGCGCTCTAACCTGCTCGAGCACAATTTGGCGGACAATCCACACACAAGGGCGCTTCTGTCTTGCAGGGTAATCATCACCATGGTGGGCTTCTCCCCTGGAACGGGATGGACGAGAAATGTCTACCGTGGCGCTGGAGACTCGCACTTCGTACTGTACTTAATGAAGTCTGCACGAGACCCATTCGTATTGCGTACAACGTAACAGCTGCACATGGTGAGAACACGAGGACTGACTCCACCGGACGGCACTTTGTTCGTCAACATCAGTCTTGCAGTGCATGCATGTCTTCGTGTGCTGCGGCAAACACACCGGCCGGCCCAATCGCCCCATTTGGCACTACACTGGCACACACACGTGGGACGGGAGTCTCTCCACGTTTGCTCTAAAGTCCTTCTATTCCTTTATAATGCGCTTTTGACGTGGAAAATAGGCCGGGTTCGACTCCAGAGAGAGAGGCAGAGAGAGAGGAGAGAGACAGAGAGACAGAGACGGGGTGCGGTATGTAGGAGTCGTGTGCGGCAAAACTAGCTGCCAGCCCTGTGTGATTGCACGCCCGCCAGCCAGTGGAATAAACAGCCTGCGATAATCTATCAGAGTAAGTCAGAATTGACTGCCTCTTATCAGACGAATCACGCCGACGGTGAGTTGCTTAACATTGCCACTCACATACGAGAAATTGTCATCTTGCCTCCCCCACGCCTGCCACCTAGTTTGCGATTTGCTCATCGCAACCGGTGGTGCTGCCATGGAATGATCTAAAGCAAAACACGCGAATCACTTATGACTCGTGCATCAAAACTACTACTGTACCACTGCCGGTGGTGCTGCTGTGAGGAGCTCGCCTGGATCCTCTGCTTCTTAGGCCTGCCGCGGTTGTAGGGCGCCACAATACTCTGCAGGTGCTTGGCCTTCTCCGTCACCATGCTGACGAAGGGAAGGACCACTATTGCCCTCCTGGTTGTGGCGGTTTGGTCTTAACAACAGCAACAACACCGCGCGCCCAGCACACGCACAAAGTAACGAGACAGTGATCGGGACTAGAGACGCAAACGTCTTCTCTTTACAACGTCTAGACGAAGGAAAATGGCTACGAAATCAGTGTCCACCCCAGCTCTCAGCTGCTGAACCTGGGGGGGGGTAACAAGCTTACGCCTGCCGTTGGATTTATTTCGGGATTGAACGGTCTGAGAACATAAGAATGGGGTGTTTCGTTTCGAATGAAGACACGCAAGTAGGGCTGCAATTTCGCTGCCAACCAACCGAGGAAAGAGCAAGGAGCTTTGGCGTGGCGTGTGCGAGTGACCATGGGCGACATCAGCGGTCGTGGCAGCCAAGAAAAGACTAACGGAAAACAAAAGATTGAATTGGAAGCGTATCGACATCAGGGCAAAGAATCCGAAAACGAGCGTACCGTTAAAGGCTGCATCGTTCGAGCACGAATGTGGTCACTTGGCCAGTAGCAAAGCTATCAACACACAGGTGGTGACTTTGCACCGATATCTATTGGTAGGTATGAAACTGTAGGAGATAGAAAGCCTATGGTGGCGCCTCGCAGCTTCAGTCTTCTATTTGATCTTAAAGCAGCCAGAGGGCTGAGAGTGACAAACGAAACCGAACCACTCTGGACTGAGTAGCCGGTTCTCATGCACTCCGAACTCCAGCGATTTCCTGAGCACACTTTAACTCAAAACCCGAAATCTTTGCCGGGGGAAAATGGACTTGAGAAAAGTAGCTTTGGATGACAACCTTTATCCTTCAGCACGTATACCTTTTCGCAGCAGACCCGTTATCGCCCCGCTCTCCACAACGGCAGCGGCAGCAGCAGTAGCTGCCCGTTCCTCGTCCTCTCCTTCTCCCGTGGAACGCGCCAGGGGTAGACCCATGACCCTGAGCAGCAAAAGAAGCTCAGCAACCATGGTCTTGCCCCCGCTCGTTGGCGCAAAGTACAAGAGATCCTGCCGTCCTTCTGCGACTCCGGGCAACGCCAGGCAACTTGCTTGCCAAGGATACAGATGTTCGATCCCAAGACTCCGGCCATGGTGGTGCCGAAGGGCAGGGTCGAGCCCCCAACGCCGGAAGAGGTACTCAAGCGATGTTGGCGGCTCAGCGGCCATGGTCTTCTGCGACAAGGGGACAAGGGGAAGGGCATCTTACTGCTACGAGGTTGGTGGTCTTCAAATAAGGCCGTCTCGACGACCAATATCGTCGAAGTGTACAGCGCAGCCGACGACTGCTTACAAATTACTGAGGGGCATGGCGGATTCCTGAGCGGGTGAGTGTCATGGAATAGGGAGTACGCCGAGAAATACCGATTTATGTGAAGACGGTACATCTCTACTACGCGAGACCTAAAGGCACGCTATCCCTGCTGCCAGGAGAGGGGACTGGATGTAGACTGGTGTTGTAATGTAAGTGCTCTGATCAAGCAAATTCGCGGATGTTGTACGTGCGCGCGAATTCCACAACGGCAAGAATGCAAAGTCTCGTGCAAACACAGTGACCAACACACGACTCACCTCAGGGGAAGCAGAAGACACCATGGCGGCTGCGAGGACGCAGCCTGCCCACCTATGGCAAGCTGCGGGTTGCAGCAGCTCTGACAGCTCAACACAGCTCAAAGCCTAGATGTAGATGTCCATCCTACTCGAGTGTGGAAATGCGTTCTCGTCCCGGGGGGGAAAGTGGCAGTCCCGCTAGAGATCTTCGGAGATCGACGCAGAGCGAGCCCTTGGAGAGAGGAGAGTGGAGCATGGAGAACGAGAGAGTGGAGAGTGGAGAGAGGAGGGAGTGGATAGTGGACAGTGAAAGAGGAATTATACAGACAGCCACAGGCAGGCAGAGATACAGAGGTACCGGATGCCGAGCGTCCAGGGTCGCGCTCGAGAAAAATGAACCACAAAACCCCCCGCCGCCCTTGTTTTTGGGTACAATCTCTCGACGCTGAAGGCAACATCGTGGGAACCGCTTTGTGAGTTGAATATGGGATTGAAGCTGTAGCTCTGTAACGTGAAATGCTCATGCGCCAATGTTGTTCGAGGTCGTTGTGAAACAGCACTCACTACAATACGCAGATCATCAGCAAAAAGAGAGCGGGAAGACACAGACGGACTTACTTCGGCTGGCAACCGCACCCACACACATCCCCACATACACGTTGAGAGACAGGTCTAGTGGGTAGCCGCGCAGCCTCCTAAGGGCCAGGTCATCGGTTCGAGCCCCGGCAGAGAGAGTTTTTTTCTCACTAAATAAATCCTGGTCTAGGATGAACGCGACGCGCTGTAAAGAAAGCTCGTTTGTTAGTAAACCATAATCGACTTCGTAAGTCGCGAGGGAAGGGATTGCTGTACCCTTCTCGCGATAAAAATACCTCAGGCATGAACCGCAGGAGGGGGTCCAACCCCCCCCGCCTATGTGACCCCGGTTGGGTCGTCTAGCTAGTAGAAGTGGAGGATAGGGGCCAGAGGGGCAGACGACAGAGTCCAATGATGGGAGAAAAACAAAAACAAACAAACAAAACAGTCCTCTTCGGATCGAGGCTCAGTTTCTCCTTTCACAGCCACCATGGAGCATAGACCACCCAATGGTGTGGGATTGACAACAAATTTGAGCCCATTTTTTTGAACATAATCTTTGAAGAGTATCGTTTACCCGCAAACCCGGCATTCTATGATGAGCATCAAGCACACTTCCAGAGTAGCTCTTTTCCCAGTGGCACACTGCCCCCCCCCCCCCCCCCCCCCCCCCCCCCCCCCCCCCCC